CCACGGCCCCGGCAGGCAGCACCCACCCCGCCTGCCGTAGCCCCTGCCACGGACGCAAGTATAGCACAATGACCCCCGCAGCATCGCTCCACAGATTGGCTTCTCCGTCCCGTGCCCAGGGCCCCCCGTTTCCAGGGGCTGTGCAAGGCGTTACTGTAGCTACGCTGGCGGTTAACCTTGCGGAATCGATTCGTATTTTTCTATGGTTTTTACCTGCCGCTGTCCGCGGTCACGGGCTTCTTCGGCTGTGCTGTTCCTTTTCTCTGTGTTTCGCTTTGCGTTCTCCGGTCAGTGTGTGAGCTTTTCACCTGTTTAGACGAAGAAACGGATCAGAAGTAACTAACTGCTCTCTCCTCAAGGCCCGCCTTAGACTTCGTGGAGATATTTCAAAACACGGAGGGGATGGGAAAAAACATCCAATACTATTTACTAAAAAAGAAAATGCGTAAATAAAAGCTGTCTCCCACCAAGCTGCAGTAGGGTTTGGCCTAGAGTCTCATGTTCCATTTGCAAATGTCCTTGAACTTAGCCTTGTTCCTCCTCGATGAGTTGTCAATCTTTTTTCAGATGACATTCGGTTAAAAAACATACAAAGTGTCCACTCTTCCCGCAGGTCTGTCACGTGTGCCAGGGTGGTGGGAACGCAGGAAAGGGCGGGCACGTGCTGGCGTCACCTCCCGTCCTGGGGACGGGCTCGGTGGCTGCCCTGCCACGTGCCAGCAGCCGTTGTGGTTCCGCGCTGGCCTTGTAAGATACCCCGCGACCCGATGTGCAGCCGGTGTCCCTCGCATATTTCATTGTGATGTACATAAAGACGGCCGCGTGCGCCGGGCACCGTGCAGTGTCCCCTGCCCGCCCCCCACGGTCCCCATCGTGTTTTTTGCTTGCATGCCGACGCTCTGGCTGGCTGACTCTCTAGAAGTGCTCGTCTGAAATATGTCACTCACTGGAGCTTGTTCGTCCTGATGTCTCCAGCTCCCGGTCCCGCTGGGGGTTCCTTGGCATCCTGTCGCAGAGAACATATGTCCGTGTCGTGTTCGGGGGCTCGGGGGTTTCGGCCTCATCCACACGAGCTCTGGATGTCAGTGCCGTTCCACTGGAAGATCTGCAACACGGGTTTTTTTTTTAAGGTGACGCGTCACCATCTGGGGAGAGGTGACCAGCAGGACCGCTGGGAATGCGACGTGATCATGCATGTCCCACGTCAGTGACTGCAGAGCCAGCTAGGTCTGACGGGGGCGCCAGCACTGGCCGCGGGCTCGGGGAGGAGGGACGTGAGACCGGGGCATGGCGTGTCTGCTCGTCCGCGGAATAAAACATTATTTTACCACTTGTAGAGCCCGCTCCTTGCTTTTCCCCAGCACGTCACCTCAGGGAGCACTCGGGCCATCAGGAAGGCTTTGAAGGTGTCTCTGAGCCCCATCTGGGACGGACACACGTCCCCGAGCCTGGCGGGCAGCGAACGAGCCCGCATCGCAGCAGCAACAGCATTGATCCCGAGAAGGGTAGGACCAATCGCACGCCGAGGTCCAGTCAGTCAAAGGAAACGGACCTGGGTGTCGTCCCGGGAGCTGCTGGCTGAGTGCAGACAGGTGTCCCCCCACTCCAAGTAAAACGGTCACACTGTGGAGAGCCCACCGCACTGCCCACTAGAAAACTCTAGGAAAACCTGCATCTACTGGAAGTTCGTTTGTTCTCTTGTTAATTTGACGAGTCTGGTGTAAACATAACCCAGCCTGCAGGCGGAGGAGTTGACTAGATAAACCCTTCCACACCACCGAGCCGCTGGCACCTCAAGGTCTTCCCCAGATGCACTAGCTGAATCTTGTCACCCTTCCTGACCAGGAACCAGGACGCTGGGGCTGGGTGGCAGCCCCCTGGGCGCCAGTCCTCAGAGGCCCGGGGTCCCATCTACAAGCCACAAGCTCCAAACAGCCGCTCGCCGTCTGCATCCACCTGCCCCACTGCACAGCCGGGAACAAAGCCCAGAGGCCGCACAGAGCCACCCAGAGCCACACGGCCCGCGTCCCTCTCCCCCTCCCTCGCTGTGCGTTCTTTCACGATGCGCTCCGACGCTCAGGCCCCCGGGTCTCCCCACCAGTGTTGGGGCGCCCAGCACGGCCCAGCCAGCACGGAGCCAGGCCTGGGGGAACGGGTGTCAGGGTCTAATCCTGAACGCGTGAGCGACCCACAGATGCCTCCGGCTCCTGCTCGGTCCAGGCCTCCCAGGGAATCGCGATGCGCCAGCCTACGGGCACCCGCTGGGCTGGTGCCGGTCACCCCTTTTTGTGTCCCAGACTGGGGTCCCAAGTGACGACATGCCTAGGGAGCCGCATGCAGAAGCGGGAGGGCCCGGATCAGTCACACCCTCCAGACCCACGGCCCTCCAACTTCGGCACACGTTATAGTCCACTGGGCACTTTGCAAAAGAGACCCCGGGGACAGTGACACATGTGCATGTACCACACCGAATTCTGTCGCTGCATCTGAGCCCGGCGCCCTGCCGCCCGCCCCCACCCCGCAGAACCCGGCAGGCGTCCCTAAGGTGTTCCCCGCAGGCCTGTGTCCAAACCCCTTAAACGTAACTCGTGATGCTGGCCACCCCGGCCCCAACAGATACGGCACACTCATGTCCCGTCAGCACCCACGCCCGCCTCCTGCTGGTGGGGCCCTCGTCCCTGCGCACCCGCACACACACGCACACATGCGCGTACACGCACACACGCACGCACACGCACACACGCACACACGCACACACGCACACACATGCACACACGCACTCCACCTCTCCCTCAGCATACGCAGCGTCTCTCCCTGACACTCGGGGCTGGATCCCTCCTTTGGGGGGCTGTCCCACGCACCGTGGGGTCCTTAGCAGATTGCCACCCTGTGCCCAGCAGACGCCAGCAGCAAGGCCAATGGCCGCCCCAGGGGCCTGGGCACCGCTAACCGGCACTGGGCTGCTTTTGTGCACAGCTGCACGTCTGTGTTGGGCGAGAGGCTGGGGACCGTGTCCGCCCACCGCGAAGCAGCCAGGGCTGTGCTGCTGGTGACAGCGAACACTGGCTGGACCTCTGCTCGTCCCAGGCGCTGTTCTAAGTGCCCCACGTGTCACCGGCACACAGCGCATTTAATCCACAGCGGCCGAGAGTTGTTGTCCTCCATCGCGTGGGCCGGGAACGGAAGGGACAGAGGGAGGTAGCAAGGAGACAAGTTACGGGCACTGGCCTGCGGCTGGGAGCGAAGGCCCAGGTGGCATGAGCGGCTCACCAGGCGCCTGGGCCGGGTCAGGTTCCGCTGGTCCACTCGCTTTGGGCGGGAGGGAGTGAGCAGAGGCCCAGGAGCCCGGGGAGAAGGCCAAGCTCAGGGTGCCCCCAGCTCAGGACGCCCCACGCGGCCTCAGTCCAGGGCTCCTCCAGACCCTGGGCCCCGGGGCCTGCAGCCTGCGTGCCGGTCAGCGTGAGGGCCGCAGGGCGTCCTGCTCCGCGGCCCGGCCCTCTGCTCGTTCTCGGGCTTCAGGCCTCGGGCCGCAGTGCACGGGCTGACGCGGGGCCTGCGGGGGCAGGAAGGAGGCGGCGGCCGCGGGGGGAGGAGGCGGGAGCTGGGCCCCAGCTCTCACCGGGCACCGCGCCGGCTCCCGCGACTCACTGGGCCTCCTCACGTCACAGCCGCCTCCGCTGGGCACTGCGGCCAGATCCTGGTCCTGTGCCGCCAGCTGCTGAGTGACCCTTCCATTAAGTGCCCGTTCGCCCCCCACTGCAAAGGTAAAACACTCTCTCCCCTCTCAGCAGGGGTCAGCAGTCGAGCCAAGGTCAGTGTGGGGCACAGAGTGGAGGGGACACAATGTGGCTGCACGTCCAGCTGGGAAGAGACCAGCCCCTGCAGTCGGGAGAGTGGGGTGCAGGGTAGGGGAGGCCCCGTGCCCCATCTACGTGGGGGCCAGCGCTGGCTGTGCAGCCTTGTGCATGGCCTGTCCCTCCCAAGGCTCCAGAGGGGATGTCCCCAGCCCCGCTCCACTCAGTGGCCCCTTGGCGGGTGGCCTCAGAACTGCAATTAGCACAGGGCTTCTCCTGTGTCTATCTGTCTGTCCTGTAACGGTCCAGTAAAGGCCTACAGATAAGGCCACAGTCGGGGGGCCCGGGGGTCAGTCAGGACGTCAGCGGGGCTGAGCGTGAGTGCGCTCAAGGGCTCCGCGGTTCTGGCTGTCACCAGGCCACATCTCGAGCCCTGTGCCACCTGTGGGCCCCCTGAGGGCCCCCTTTCAGGGTCCGAGCCAGGCTGCCAGCCCCACTTCCCACCCAGCCTCAGGAGGAGGACCTGGCCGTCCCAGGCTGGGCCGAGCCCACCGGCCTCTCCGACACAGGCACTGTCGCCAGGTCCCCTGGGCCCCGCTGTGCCCCGGCCCCACAAGGCTCCTTGTTTACCCTGTCTCCAGCACTTCAGCTTCTCCCCACTGACACCCCACAGACAGACGGAGGGACCCGGGCGCCGTCCCCGCCCCCTCGGGCCTGCTCTGTTTGGGCTGAAAGTGGGTGGGAGGAGAATGTGCTGTTTGACGTGACTACGTGTTGGGGCTATTTGTCGCACAGCGAGGGGTCAGAGGTAGCACCCCAAACCCGTTTACCCTGTCTCCAGCACTTCAGCTTCTCCCCACTGACACCCCACAGACAGACGGAGGGACCCGGGCGCCGTCCCCGCCCCCTCGGGCCTGCTCTGTTTGGGCTGAAAGTGGGTGGGAGGAGAATGTGCTGTTTGACGTGACTACGTGTTGGGGCTATTTGTCGCACAGCAAGGGGTCAGAGGTAGCACCCCAAACCCTCCTCTGAGCGCTAACACAGCAGGGGACAATGCTGGGAACAGCCTCCTTGGCCCATGACTCCGCGACCTGGTCCCGAGGCGGGGTCTCCTGTGACGGTGCGAACACCTCCAGTCAGGCCGGCGGGGACGGGCCTGCGGGGGGCTGCGCCCGCTCTCCGGCCACCCCGGGCGGCGTCCCGTGTCTGTCGGCTTCACGCCGGTCGCTGAAGGCCTTTCCTGTTAATTTTGGAAAACCACAGAAGGCAGCTTGATGACAAGCAGGAGGCGGTTCGTATCAGGCCATTGGATCCGAGGTGCCAGCTGGTGCCGATGTGACTGCCCGGCCACTCGCGGTCACGGCCCAGCGCCGGCGCCCCGTCAGCCGCGTGTTCTCGCTGTCCCCACCAGCAATCGCTCTGTGGCGGGACTGGTGTTTGTTTTGCTCACAAATTACTTTCCGAGTTGGTCGTGTTTCTCTAGCTTGACTGACGCACCAACCACGATGTCTCCCATGATCCTCAGGGGGAAGAGGTGATGCTGAGGCCACTCGCCTTGGTCTCCCTGATGCCAGCACCTCACCAAGCCGAGCACCAGACATGGACGACCACCAATAGAGGCCGGATGTGGGACAACAAACCCCTACATTTGCCAGCAGCCGGTGCTCACCATGTCCCTAATGGGGACCTCCAAAGGAGGAAGGGCCAGGGCCGCCAACACCCGTACCAGCTCATAGGCAGCACTGTGACCTTGGCCTGGGGCGGTCTGCGCCTCGGTGCCCTGTGCTGATGCCTCCCTTGTGGCCAGTGAGGCTGCACGGGCCTCGCCCCATGGCGAAGGCTCCTCCCGGAATCCTGAGCCCGACAGACAGTGTGTGCCAGGGAGGAGACTCCACGTGACTCCAGGAACAGGTCTGCAGCTTCCTTCACGGTTTGGGACTGGGGAGGGGTGGGAAGGAGGTGGGGCGAAGCTGGGCAGGACAGGTGACAGGGCAGTGAGGCTCCCGGGTCCTCTCGAGGTGGTTACGAGTTTGCAGGGCCATCCTCCTGGCACCTCGACCGAGACACACAGGACAGCGACGGGCTGGCCTGGGGTGTAGACAAGCCTTTGCCTGCCTGCCGGTGAGGAGCTGGGACCGATCGCCCCGCGGTCATTGTGCGGTCACTGTCTGCAGAGCCCCAACAACGTGCCCCGCGGCTCCGCCCCGCCGGAGGAGTTGGTTCGGAGGAGTTGGGTCTGCATTCTGGTCGTTTTAGGGAATGCAAAGTGCCAAAAGGTGACTGCACCAGTTGTGGAATTCGAAGGCAGCTGCTTTCGATGGTCCGGGGCGCTAGGAAGTGCATGGGAGCAGCAAGGAGCTGCCGCCTTCCCAGGGCAGTGTGACCGGCTCAGCGCGGCTGCTCCTGAGACCTGGCAGGACCCCGGGGAGCGTCAGGGAGCACGGCCACTGCACGGCCACTGGGTCCCGGAGCAGTCCCACACAGGTCTCAGGCCCAGCCCCAGCCGCCGGTCACACCGCCCTGGGAAGGCGGCAGCTCCTTGCTGCTCTCGAAGGCACCAGCAGAGGGCAGCAGAGGACAAGCGCTGGGCCCTGCGTCCAGGTGTGCAGGGCCCTGGCCTGTGAGGGTGACCGTGTGCCAGGCCTCCAGGAGGCCACCGTGGGTCCCTGTGCGAGGGCGTCTGGGCGGGCGGGCGGTCGGGACACCCCGCCTGCACAGTGCAGGGAGGCATGGCGGGCCCCAGGCGCAGGCAGCAGTGGCCCAGCTTCCAAGGGCAGAGGGGACAGCTGCAGCCTCGGGGCCAGCGAGGGGTCGTGAAGGCACTTGGGGGGCTGGTGCCACCCAGCTCCCCAGTTCCTGCAAGGGGTTCTATGGAAAGTGTCGTGTTCCTGTCACTCCTGGGGGAGCAGATCCCACATCCCATCCTGTCCCCCAAAAGTGCATCTACATCGTCTGTCTTCTGCTTTTTGAAAACATGGTAAAACTTTAACCTTTTCTGGGTCAAAACCATTTCAGATGTAACAGAAGCCACAGAAACACACGTGTGCGTGTGCACACACACCGATTCGTGTGCTTGTGACGTAATTCTGCCTGTGGGTCTGGGGACTCGGTTTAGGAACCGAGTGAGTCTTGCAGAAGATCCGAGTCAACTCACAATAGACTCTGCCCCTCCTCACCAGCTCCTGGCTCAACCAGTTTTCTGCATTTTCTTTTTTGATTGTGGTGCAGGGTAAATTTACCATGCTGGCCATTTCTAAGTGGACAGCCCAGTGGTGTTCAGCAGTCGCAGCGTCGAGCGGCCGTCCCCACCACCTCCAGGACTTCCCCTCACGAACGGTCCCCGTCCTGCCCCGGAATCGCGCGGTGTTCGTCCTGGGTCCGCCGTCTCTCAGTGGCGCCGCGTCCCCAGGGTTATTCCGTGTCGCGACGTGTCAGCATTTCCTTCCTTCTTACGGCTGATGACATCCAGTGGCTGCACACTGAACCCTGTGCATCCACCGCCTGGTGACAGACACGCGCTGTGCTCCCAGCTTCTGGCTAGAGACCCTGGAACGTGGGTGTGTGAGTCCCGTGCTTTGGGGTACGTACCAGAAGCGAAAGTGCTGGATCACTGGGCGATCCACTGAGTCGAGGAAGCTCCAGGCTGCTTTCCAGCGGCTGCACCGTTCCCACCAACACCCGCTGGTCGGGTCGTTGGTTGGCTCTGGACTGTGGGGTGAGGCGCACGTCCCTGCGGCGGACGGTGGCCGCCCCGAGGGCCGTGAGGCGCGTGTCCCTGGCCGCTGGCTGCCCTGAGGTTTGATTCGCACTGCTCTTAACCATCAGTGATGCTCAGCGTTTTTCATGTTTATTGCTGGTCGCTCATACATCTTTGAAGAAACGTCTATTCGAGTCCTTCGCCCGGTTTTCAATCGTTTTCCTTGTCGGTAGCTCTGTCACATTGATACGTGACGCGCGAACGTTCTCCTGTCCTACGGCTGCTACTATGACCTTCCTTTGACACGTCTTCAGCTCTGACATGGTCCACTTTGCCGCCATCGCTGGTGCTTTTCACGGCAATGGGGAGACGTGGACGGGCGAGCACACGCCTGTGAGGAAGACACTCGTCCCTCAGCGTGGCGAAGCCCGGAAGGCTTCATGGGCGTAGTGGGCGGGGGCTTGCCAGAGGGACAGTTATGCCCATGAGGGGCAGGGAGTCATCCCGTGTGACAATGGCCGTGAAGGCTGGGCTGGGGGTCACAGGAGATGAAGATTTCAAACTACACAACGTGGGTACTTTCTCCTTTTTAGCCGAAAGTTACCGTCGATCTCATCTCAGAAAGGTTGTTCTCGCGACAGTATGGAGGGCCCCCAGGGAGGGAGGAGCCAGCAGGCGGGGACAGCTCAGGGGACAGCTTGAAGGCCTTGCTTGGACCCCCGGGGGACGGGGACGGGGAGGGG